GTAGATCAGACTTTAATTAGTTTGGATGAATCAAAAAGAGTCATTTAGAAAATGCATCATCCACTGTTCAGGTGCCACAGTTGCTGTGACCTACAAAGATAGCTGAATCTAGATAAAGACTTAATCTGCTCGGCTTTATAACCGGTAAAAAAGTAGTTATAAGTTGGTCCAAATGCCAGCTATGACCTGCGTGATGAATCACACCACTCTATTACTCTGTCAGGGACAGCACTTCGTATTAGGCTTCATAAAGCATAATGTAGAGCGCCTCTAGAGTGTAGTGATATACACATCCACCTAACAAGCAAAAGATCCCCAGTTTGATCCTGGCAGAAGACACAAATCCTTTTTGGGATTGTGTCAGGAAGGGCATCTGATGGGGGGGGGGAATCTGATAACTCAAACATAAAGAGCTGCCCACAGTGTGAGTTTCCACCAAGTAATGTGTTTGGTTCTTACAGGTCGAGTCAGTGAGCATTTCTGTTGCTCCTCTAAAGGTCAGGCGGCCTAAACTGAAGTCTGAGCCGCGGCTGAACGACATCACTCGGGCTGCTCGAAGAGAGCGCAGAAAAGCAGAACGCAAATGGGAAAAAGACAAGCTACAAGTGTCTTATGATATCTTAAGAGATAGCTGGCATAAATATCAGAAAATTGTTAAGAACCAGAAATCCGCCTATTTTGCAGGTGTTATTAATGACAACTGCCATAAGCCCCGTGTCTTATTTAGTATTTTAAACTCTGTTCTTAACCTTCCCCAATCAAATTGTACAGAAGCTTCTGCTGAAACTTGTGAAGCTTTTTTAAATTTCTTTGTGGACCAGATTTTATCTATTAGAGCACATATTTTACCCTCTTCTGTTATTTTTACGCCTTTAGCATTTTTTAGCCATTTTGAACCTGTGTCTCTGTCTTATCTGGGTAAAATTGTCACCCAAATCAAGTCTGGCTCTCCCAGTGATGTCCTTCCCCCTCGTTTTTTTTAAAGAAGTTTGGGGCACTATTGGACCTTATATTCAAAGGCTTATAAACAGCAGCCTGACTTTAGGCGATGTACCTGTAATTTTTAAACAGGCAGTGGTCCAGCCTCTGCTGAAACGCCCTGGCTTGGATGGCTCCTTCAAAAGCTGCTCTGGTTACCATGGAACGTACTGTTTCAGGTTGGATTCATCATTTGCTGTCACTATCTGGTTATTTTGCCCTCACACATGAGCTGCTGGCTGGCAGGAAGTATCAGAAACACGTTGTTCATGTTGTGGTAGCACTTCATACTTCATCCAAGCACTGTGTGTTCCAGATCGATGGCTGGACGGTGTTTCATTTTCTGCCTTTAAAAAAAAAACACAGAGAGAGAGATAAAACCATGTCTTTTTTTTCTTTTTTACACTTTGGAGAATCCGAGCATAATAAGCGAGACATTTGGACATTATCTCTACATGGGGACAAGTTAAGACTAGAGAGGGGAATGAGAGATGATAAGTAAAAAAAATCATTCCTAATTTAAGGTTGTGTTCAAATCCTGAACTCAGTGAAAAGAAATCACTCCAGTAAATGAACAATGTTTAGTTTGCAATAGTCATACCCAGATCCCGATCTCGCCCACTGCTGGAATGGAGGATATTTACATGAAAGAATAACAATGTGGAGGGTGGAAGAGTAGAAAATCACGTGTTCTGAGTCAAAATTGCTTTTGCATTATTTGGCTACGCAGGTATTACTGATAGTAAAATGCTCCGCTGTTTAAATATATGTTATGCTTTAGCTGGATAATTCTTTTCTGTCCTGTCTGGTGTAGAAATTGGATTCCTCCCGCACACATACTCACTAAGGTCTGTAAAATCTGCTTTCTGTGACTTTGCTGCCATCTGGTGGAGGTAAAAATGGCGCTCAATCTTAGCGGAAGTGACGTAGAAAAATCCACTCTCTGTAGGCTTTCTCCAGCTACATTCTGAGAGCGATGTTCTTGCGTTAAAAATACAAAGTTTAGGTTGTGTACAAAAGACTCTATCCAGTTTAATTCACCCATAGCTGAATACAGATAAGAGTCAAGATAAGCGTTAGCCACTCGGTGACGTTTGCCGGTGGGCGGAGTCCAACAGACGGGACATAAAAACGAGATGCACCGCGCGCTTCTTCCACTTCCTTCGACGTTCTGGCAGAGGTAAGATTTGTGCAACACTTAGCCGCTTTAGTTCAGTTGCAGAGTTTATCAACTAATTGGAGGATTTTAAAGAAAGAAACTACTGTAGTGATACTGCAGTTTAACGTTAGTTCATCATCTCGTTTTCAGCCATTTTAAACGCTGCGTGGTGTTTTTGCTAGAAGTTTCTCTGCATTGAGCACCGACCAGATTTTAGCGTAATCTTCAACCATCCACCAGCAGAATTTAAACATTTCGACTGAAACTTCTGTCACTACTAATAAAATTATGTTCTCTACCTGATGCATCCAGTATTGAGACATAAACGTTAAGCAGGCTTGCATTTTAATGGCTTAAGTGACCGCACGGCAACTAACAGCGTCTCTAAATGATGAAAATTTTCACAGACCTGTCCTGAATGGCAGTGATTGCACTCTTTTTATTCTGATTTGAGACGCTGTTAAACTAAATTTTCATACTGTTTCATGCGAACAGTAGCACGTTAAATTTTAGCGGTCACGTGGTAAACGGCATGGCTAGCTGGTTGCTAGCTGCAGCATGCTAACGCATTCTTTCTTTTCTTTCCAGATGTGGAGCTGCTGGAAACGTGCTTCCTGCGCAGGTAATGTCTGTTTACAGATTCGCTTTATTGCATTATAAGGTGGAGAGCAGGGTCACGTAAACGTATTAAATGGCATAACGTGAAAGGTCATGCTACTGTGATGACCTGTTTGAACTCTCTCACTGAATAAAAACGTTGAAGACAGCATTTCAAACACTGAGTAGCATGAAGGAATCACCACTGATCATCTCATGCTTTTTCTTTTACAACTATCTAACGGCGCCATTTTTTTTCTCCTCGTCTGGTTTCAGGCATGGCCTGTGATGACACTTCCTACATCAGGTAATTAGAAAATGCTCCGAGTGCTTCAGATTTTAATCTGGATTAGGAATTTGAATGATCTCTCTCAGTGGCTCTGCAGTTAAACATCTGTGTGGCTATAAATGAGCATGTTGTGCTGCGGTGATGAGTCTTGGAACTCTCTCTTTCTGAATCAGCGTTTTGAAGAAGCTTCTTTACCAGATTCTGAGCAGCATGAAGGCTCCAGCCTGATTGTGCTGTAATAGTTCTTAAAACACTTTTATAAGACAATGACTGTGGTTTAAAGTTAAGGGCAGTGATTGAATTGACAAATCTCTAGTTCTAATTTCTTGAGGGCTTAAATACAGATCTCATTAACCAAGATATTTATTTTTTCTGTGTAGGTCCTCTGATGTGAACCCCGCAGTGTTCAGAGGGGCTTAAATTCAGAGGTCAGTTAAGATTTTCCGCCGTTGTTAAAATTCCACAGTGGGGTTTTAAGCATGATGATTACCATTAATGACAAGCATATGCCTGATTAATGTGATGTCAACCTTTAATCTGACTACCCTTTAATTTAGGCTAACAAACATGTAAATGTTAGTTATTGCAAATGATTAACAGTCTGGTATTTGTTTGCTAGGCTAAAGTTGGAGTTGTTTCAGAAGGAAGTGATGCCAAATCAGCATGTAAGTATTAAGCTTTAATTTTTTCAGGTTAATGTGAAATTGTCCGAAATGCCAATTTCCCCAAATTCGATAAATTGAATCTGAAATGCTAAATTAATTTATTGGTTCGATAATGTGAGGCATTTCTGACAGTTTGAAAGGATGAAATGGGTTAGCACCCATCAAACACCTGGACGACATATGTCACATGGCAGTTTGTCACCAAAGCCCTGATCAAACGTGCAAGTCCTTAATGGCACAGGAAGTAGTCCTTGCTTTTTATTAACGGTCCAACTTCTCCTTTAGGGACTTCCACCCAATGCTTGGGAAAGGAAGGCAGTCGAGAAAGTTTCAAGGTAAGAATTGAAGACTTGAATATTCTTTCTGTTGAGCTTGTCGTGCAGAGACGAGACGTCTCATCTGCAGCGCAGTTTCAGTGATGATGAAACTTAGCTCACTTTGACCCGATGTGAAACGACACGAACATCTGAGCAACTGCAGCTTTTCACTTTGAAGGATTTTCTATCATCTGTGTATTTTATTTGTCATAATACAATCTGCATGGCCACTTGAGTGATGTAAATGATTTCTGTTGTCAGGTGACTTGATGACTGCTTCAGCAGCTCCATGGAGGCTTTCCTGTTTGAAGGTATGTTAAAAAAAAATATCTGTAGTTTTAAATATTCAGACCTGCTGAAAATGATGAGAGAAATTTTGGAATCTCGTTCGTCTGAACTGCTGTTGATAAAATTTAAATCTGAAGTCAGTGACGGTCCACAGGGAACACTGTGAGACTTGAACCTCCTTTCTGTACCTTGACTTGATGCAATCATCTTACAGGTAGCTGAAGTTTGGACTCCAGATGCTGACATCACCATCCCAGCTGTTTGTCCAGGTGGGTGAACTCTGTAGCTTCGCTCATCTAGACATCTTTATGTAGGAGGCTTGGAGCTTGATGGACTCTAAAAACTTTTATTTAGACTGATGTCACTCAAGTTTCCTGTATGATGATATTGGCAGCCGTCTTACGCCTCGTGTCAATGCCAGACCTGAAAAGGTGAACCCACTGGTGTTGCCTTGGCAATAAGGGGATGACCTGTTGGGGTTACCAACAGTCTGAATGGAAACATAATGGAATTGTGAATCATCTGATGTTTATCTGCACAGGATCAAACCTGTAGCCTAACGTCACTGTGAGAAAACTAATGTAACTTTGTGTCGTCCTTCAGGACAGAGCTGCCTGTCAAAGCTGTGAGCTGGACGCAAGCCCTAGGTAAGTGCTGTGCATGTTAACATCAACAGAAAAGGGATCATAGTGAAAATAAAGGATGAATGATTCTGGTATTAAGGTCTAAAACTACAGTCATGCTTCCTGTCTGATAAGACTGAAAGCCCTGGATCTTGACTTTAGTACTGCTGGGTTTGTGCAAATGATGAATTGGCTAAGACAGTCAAAGAGGGGGTTGACTCTACCCCCTCACACTCGGTTGGTCTCCCCTCCTGTTGGCCCAGCATGGCGCTGAGAACCCTGAGTGTTGTTACCCCTCCAGGTGTAAGGTGACCTGCTGGTGCTCTGATGGAGAAGGAGTGCTGACTGAGGCATGGCTGACAGGTGGTCATCTGATCACATCCCAGAAATGTCATATTTAAACTTCTTTGACACTTTATAACACAGTGGCTTTGAATGCTGCTTTATAGATTTGCTTCACTACAGTGTTAATGTCAGTCTGACATTTTCCCCAAAAGAGCTTCAGCAGGATACTTAATACTTGTCTGTCTTTAAACAGCTTTAAACACCAGATCGTCGGTTCAGTCGGTCCATGCTGGTGAGTACAAACACTGGTTCTGTTTTAACAGCATGCAGCAGCTTAATGTCCAGTTAAACATTAAACAGAAGTGATGAGGTTGTTTTACCGCCCCAGTCTGAAGATTCATGACTGATTGGTATACTCTGATCTCAGCAGCTAAAATGTGTTCTCAGTCACTCCACAAGCAGACTCTACTAACACATTTCATCTGTTGCAGGTTTCTTGTTTGAGGCAATGGAGTCATGTGGTCTGTGTCCAGCACCTCATGTCACGAGACTGACATTGCGCACAGTCATGATGGTGAGTAACCAGTTTAAACTGGAAACGTTACTTAATTAGGCAGCGGTTTAGTGTTAAGCAGAAGTGATGAGGTTGTTTTACCGCCCCAGTCTGAAGATTCATGACTGATTGGTATACTCTGATTTAAAATGGACTTGATCATAACATGAGCGTTCCTGCCCTCCATGTTTCTAAGTTTTTGTTTGTTTTTAAACTTTGCAGATTGGACAGTACACACCACATCGTGACGATCTCCTGTGTGCTGCCACCAAGATGACTGCAGTTTGAACTACACTGGAATTGTGGACACCTGTGATAATGTTTACATTTGTGGGGTTCTGTCACTTAAAATTTGCAGTAACAAAACAATAAAGTG